TTTAAATTGTTTTATGCTTTCTTTTGGAATCCTTTCCTTTGGTAGAGGATAATCGGGTGAATTAATATATTCTGGATTAATATCCGTCTTATACAAGCAATAATGGCACATCATTGCTTCTTTTAATAAATTAAAAAAATTAATTAATCAGCCTGGCATCCACCCGAATTTTATTCTTTCTGCATTTTTTCGAGCTGTACCTAAATAAATTTCATGTTTGGGATGAAAGCATGAATTAGTTAATTCAGTTTTCTTTTTTTTTTTGCATTTACAATATATTTGTTATAATGTTTTCAACACAAAGCCTTGCCAACTAGATCTAAATATTGGCTTGATGTCAGTATAGTTAATTGATCAGTTATGATCAAAGCACCATAGAGGTCATAGTTGCAGGCAACTTCATCATAACTTTCCAAATCACAATATTGAGCTTTTCTTTTTTCTTTTCCTTTTCCTTTTCCTTGCCCCAAATTAGAGCTAACTTCTTGTGCAGACATTTTTGCTTAATGATATGGATCGATTTACAAATTTTACGTATTAATTAAATTAATTAAATTACGTATTAATTACGTATGTTAAATGATAATCTATTAATAATCTTGTTACACAAACTTTTAATTTTAATAGCCAATAAAAATTCATGAAGATCACGAAACGATCTACAAAAATAAGCCAATCACAACGAAAGCCCGCTATGCTGCGATGTATATATTTTTCCTTTATAGGACTATATATAGTGTAGAATATTATAATAAAATAAAATTAATTTAATATAATTATTTTTTATTTAATAAAAATCATAGAATCCAATCATTTATACATTTAACTTAAGGGTGTAAGAAAAAAAAAGACATTTATTATTTTGCTCGCTAAAAATTTGAAGTTTTTCCAGGAGTTCTTACTGAGAATCATGCTGGGGAACATGTTAATGGTTCAAATCTTGGTCAATTATTTTATGCTAGCTATGTGGATCAGGTGATTTGAATTAATTTTAGATTGTATTGCTGTATTGAGACAAAATATTGTATTATACATTGAATAATCATGTAAATTTTATTAATATTCAGTGGACTAAGATACGTGATTTTTGATAGATTTTGGTTAATTGTTAATTAATTGTTAAAGTAGTTGTTAAATTAATTGGTAATTAATTGTTAATTGTTCGAAAATTAAATTATATTATTAATATCAATGATAGGTATGAATCTCCGGATGCTGGAATTTACTCAAGATGAAATAGATTTAATTCATAATGCAACATTAGCAATTTGTGATTAGTCGAAATATACTAAGCACTACAAATTTGGCATCAAATATATGGATATTTCAACCTGCCGCTGTTCCAAATGTCACCACCACCGATAATTCTTATCCTCAATTTAATGTCTTAAAGTTTTCCAATACATATAAAGCTCAATGGAGAATTGATGGTTCTGATAAAGTTCGAACGGCTGGTGCGGTATTGTCTCAACCCTACAGATAATGGCATGGCGGTATATTTTAAAAAAATGTCTTCATTTCGTTCAAACTATTGCGACTTGTATAAATAAAAAGTCAACAAATATATTTATTCATAGACGCCGATATGATAATCATATCAGTCAATTCAACAGATTCATCAAGCATAGACATTGGAGTTTACATATCTACTGGTTACCAACGTCCAACTAAAGACGATAGTGCCAAATTTCTTACTATTATAAATAGTACTGTTACAGACGGATTCACTCAAGCGGAATTTAAACGTCCCTTAATGCACCTAATCGAAAACCAATTACTGCTTCTTCACGTTATTTTAGTTATTTACAGTATTTTATATTACACGTTATTTTTGAAATGAGACACTTTATTTATGAAATTCCTCTATAGCAATCATTGCCTTTAATCCAAACAACTATCAACTAAATTACCATGGTAAAATAGAGGTCTCATGCTAGTCAATTTCATTACAGGACAAAGTACTTCTGTTGGTACTAATTTGTGAATAGTAGAGATATGCAATTGACCCACGGAATTGGAATGTTTTTTTCTTACATTTACATATTATATTTCATATTGTCTTATTCCGAGGTATTTCATGAAAAGTTTCTGATAATCATTTTTATGTTATTTTAACATAAAATAATAAATTAAAATGTTGTAAATATTGTGTTTTTTTCTACAACAATCTTAGTATCAATATGGTTGTTAGGTATATGAGACATAGGGATACATACATGTTTAAGGTATGGTTTTTAGTGTATATTCAGAAAAAAATATGGCTTATCAAGCTCACATAAGTAATCTTATTATTATTAATTATTCTCAGCATCGTAACCTTCAAATTCTTGGCGCCATTTGTGTTGGAATATTTGGAGCTGTAGCGATGTCTTCAGCTACAATACATTTTAGAGTTCCTAATGGAATGTACGCATTGTTTCACGTGATTATATAAACAGTTAGACTTAGACTTCGCCTTGAATATACTTACAATAAAATTATGTTTACAATTTTAATCTTTTTAAATTGTATTCTGACTTGGTACCACAATTTATACAATTTTAGTTGCTCAAGTTGGACTTGGATTATTAGCAATGTTTGGATTGGCTTATTTTGAATCTGCAGGTGAGTAAATATAATTGAAATTTAATATCCTTCATACATCTATTTAATAATATATTTACATATAAATTTTTTAGCAACCAGGATAGTACGCTGGTTAAAATACGTATATGCATTTTTATTTGGGAGCGGCAGTTATGGCCTGTGTATTGTATGAATTATTATATTTCTTTAATTCTAATGTTTTAAAAAATTATTCTAACAATATATTTGAACCTTATAAATTTAAAATAGGGTTAATGTGTTCCTTGAAATAGTTCAATTTGGACAAAATTATAATGTTTATGTAACTGTAGTGACCTCTCTTTAATTAGCTTTAAGTTATGAAAAAAATTCTAGAATAATTTTTATGCTATCGCTAATTTTGTAATTTGTAGTCATTTTGTCTATAGTCTTTTTCGTCAGTGAATTTTATTACAAGGTTAAAAATATACAATTCTTATGGCCAACAGAGTGATAAATGGACCTAATAGACAACTTTACAGTAGAATTCCTGAAAAAATTTATGAATTACTCCCTACTAATACATTGGAAGTAAGTAACATATTTAATGTATGTTATCAATTAAATAATAATAGTATTTCCTATTGTAATTTATATATATTATTAGGAATTCTGCACCACTACAGAATTTAAACCAGAATAGTTAGTTTTAACCATTTTTTACGCCTCCTTCGAAGCTATGCTTTTTTAAAGAGACAAACCAAACAAGGTAGGCAATTTATAGCGATTCTTTATCGACTTATATAATAATGTAGGTTTCATTTTTATTTGATTACGCTAAGAAACTAAAAAGTTTATTTGTTTAGCCTTAAATATAACAGATAATATTGATAAAAAAAAGAAAAAATTTAGCCGATTAAGACTTTACATTTAAGAAGTTTGCTATTTATATTTACCACCACTGGTGATCATTTGCTATATCTCAAAAATGTACTAAGTAAACGGGATTGGGTACTAATTAAAAATGCTCACAACCCCTAAAAACTTTACAAGAACTGAAAACGGGACCTTAACTTCAATTTATATTGTATTATATAAAAAAAAAATCCTCTCTAATTCCTAATCCAAACCCTAGAAATTCTTAGGACTGGTGACATGTAGTAATTTTCTACATTGAAAATTTAAAATAAAATAAAAACCAACTCCATTTTGATCATTTATTTTCGTTCAAATCTTTTCCAAATCGGAGTAAAACTACCATCTTTTAACAAATCGTCAAATTTATCACTATTCTCGGCTAATTTATCTTTTAATTCTTTTTCCGACACTTCATTCTTTACACCAACACAAAAATCATTAGGAATAAAAATTTTTTTAGGATCATATTTCTCTCTTAAATAACATAAATCTGTATATTTTTTTTCAGTATCATAATAACGATCATGAAAATAATCGAGATTTAAGTCATAAGAAGCCCACAGCAAACGCATATCTTTATCACAAAATGTGGGATTATTTACCGAAATACATTTATCATTTTCTCTTTGCCATTCGCTTGCTAAATGAAGTAAATCTTTTTCGAAAAATGTGTCAAAGGAAACACCAAAATTCATATCTCGCCAACTAAGAGATGCTTTATCCTTATTTTCTAGGCCTTTCTTATAAAATTCGGAATTTTCACCACCAAAATATTTGAATTGAGCTGAAACTTTTAATTTTTTACATATTGCTATGTTAATACGTTTTACAATCCAGTCGGACCAATTAGCATCCTTTAACTTTTTTGGTTTCCAATCGGAAACATAACCACGCTTTATATATTGTAATTGAAATTCTCTTCTGATAAGAATAATCCAATATTCAACTAATAGTGAAACATTAAAATAATTGTCTAATATAATCTTCCGTTTTTCTTCATTTACTTTATTTATAATATCTCTTATTTTTCTAATTGGAGAAGTTGCTTCGTCGTATCCTTTATATTGATAAGCGTGTATGAGGATCATATCTGGCCAAATAATCCTATCTTTACTATCACTTCTAGTATATGCTTCTCGATTATATGTTTCGTCATATGACGGATCATCATCTTCTCCATGGTCCAGGCCTTGGTCCGAACCTGAGTCAGATGAGAATGTAATACAATAATCAAAATTATCTACGTTGACGGTTTCGGTTTCTAACATTATATCCAATAGTTCTTTTAAAATATTAGGATCATAAGCACAAATTGCAAATAATCCATAAGATTTTGGATAATCGCTATCCTTTAAAACCGTTAACCTAACGTGTGTAATTACACCGAAATTACCTGGACTACCACCAATGACAGCACGAAATAATTCGTCTCCTTTTTAAATCCATTTTGATGTATATGTTTGTTCAGTTGTGTCATAAGATATAATCCTAATCTCGTCAACATAATCTGCTAAAAGACCAAAACCCCTTGCGAGTTGCCCATAACCACCAGTTTGTATATGTCCTCCCAAACCTACATATTCACATTGACCTGACGGTAAGAACCTTCCTTCAGCTGTTAATTTATCCACAAATTCCTTTAATGAGTAACTAATTCCGACTTCTAATTTAGTTTTATCTTTATCGATCCACTCAAATTTTCTATACGTATTAGATAAATCTAATTGTAGGTTATTACGATCGGTAGAAGACGCACCGGAATATTGATGCCCACCTTTAGTAAAAATAAAATATATAATATAAATTTACTCGTTATTTCACGTTTAATTTTGATTTCAGTTAACCTTGAAATAATCTACTCACCTGTACGAATAGCAATTTTCAAATTATATTTTTGAGCGTATTTTAACGCCAAATAAATATCATCAAAATCGTCTTCATTGCCATCTTTTGTTTTCGGATACAGTACAAATTTGGGATTCATATCTTTGATATCACGATATGAACTTTTTGCATATTGATAAGATTTATGAAAATATTCATTACCATCTCGTTTATAAGAATATATGTCTCCTTGAAACGTTTCAAGTCCCAAAACCTTTGCCATTTTTTGATTTTTCATAAAAAAAAAATTTAGGTTATTTATATTAATCATCAACACATCAAATACGAATTTACCAAACTTTTTTGTAACATCATTTAAAGAATGAATTTCCAGATAAATATTATTGACTTTGATAGATAACAAGGTTCTTCTCAATTTATTTGTGTTTTTACTTTCTGATAAATATTATTGGCTTTAGATATCATTGAAGAGTGCATAATCGCCCCAAAATTTGTTGATATTTATTGTTTGTGTAAATAATAAACTTACGTGAAGAAGCTTTGCACATTTTTTTTCGCCTGTGAAACAAAACAAGAAAAGCGAAAAACTTGAAAAATACAAAAAACAACAATCTAAACCTACCTAGGTTAATTAAAAATGACGGGAGGGCAATTTTGCATATATAGCTATCCTAACCTTAATATATTATAACTCTAACACTAAAGAATCTACTCCGCTTTAGACGTCCCCCGAAAATGGGAATTAGAATCCATTGACAGATCATGTATCACACGATAATCATCCAAGTTTTAAGTGTCAGGCAAGGCAGATGATCACGATAGACACAATAGGTAATTGAGTTGGGTCATAGCTTTGTAACATGTAGTAGCAGTAGGTGAAACTAATCTTCAATGGTGCACCGATGGTGAAACTAGAGTTATAGATGAAATTAATCTTCAACGGTGCACCATTTTCATAAAGTAGCCAATCAAATTTATTATATTTTCATATACACATAAAAAAAATTTTTTATAGTAGCCCCTCCAATCTTTTTTAAAAGCTACAGTTTCACACATATAGCCAACAGAATCACTTCCCTTAAGCAAATTAAAATTTACTTAAAGCGGGTCCCAACATTTTCAAAAAAAGATGAATTGGACGAGGACCTCTGAATACTAATATGTTATATATATAAACCTTTGTCTTCAAAACTTATATAAGAGTACAAATAAACTTTATTATAGAAGTGTACATTGGCTTAAATCTATATATTTAATGTACGACAGAAGTTTAATATATGATTTCTATACTTTAATAAAGTGTACAATTAAAAATTATATAATTATTAAGCTAATTCACAACGAAGATTTAATATTTGAGTTTGCTTTTCGGAATTCTTCGGATGTTTTCTCAAAATTTCAGCCCAAACTTGCTCGTAATTTACGTTCATTCATTTTTGGAACTTTTCAGAATTCATAAATTCTTTTATATACTGTACGATATACCAATTCAACATAATTATTAAATGTACGCCGATCTTTTTTTAATAATATTAATTAAGTGTATGTGCTATCAAAAAAGCCAATTTTCGTAACCATGCGACAAACAGTTTGAAAAATTTAGTTTAATTGTATGATAAAGGTTTTATGCAGGGCAGGGTTACGAAAAGCATTGCACACATGATTTAAATTGGATGAACCGGTCTGATGTACCGGAGATAAGCATTTATTATCTTGCG